ATTGATATGTGCTGTAAGTGTGAAATACACACTGGACTTCAAAGACTTAATATGAAAAAAATAATACAAAGTATCTCATCAATAATTTGTTGTATTAATTACATGTTGAAATGATAGTATTTGGGATATATTGAGTTAAATAGAAATATTAAAATTAATTTCACTTGTTTTCCTTTTTTATCTTTTTTGATGTGGCAATTATTTTTTTTGTTTCAGCATATTATGGGGGTACAGATGTTTAGGTTGAGTATATTGCCCTTGACTCACCCGAGTCAGAGCTTCAAGCATGTCCCTCCCCCAGATGGTGCATACTGCACCCATTAGGTGTGAGTATACCAATCTCCTCCTCCCCCTCCCATCTGCCAGATGCCCGATGAATGTTATTCCTGTATGTGCACTTAGATGTTGATCAGTTAAAACCAATTTGATGGAGAGTACATGTGGTGCATGTTTTTCCATTCTTGGGATACTTCACTTAGTTGAATGGGCATACAAGAGGTGCTATAATCACCATTGTTTCTTATAGCTGAATAGTACTCGATGGTATATATATATATATATATATATATATATATATATATATATACCATATTTTATCAATCCACTCATGTATTGTTGGGCACCTGGGTTGTTTCCACATCTTGGCAATTGTGAATTGTGCTGCTATACACATTCGAGGGCAGATATCTTTTTTATAGAATGTCTTTTGTTCCTTTGGGTAGATGCCCAGTAGTAGGATTGCTGGATCAAATGGTAGATCTACTTGTATCTCTTTGAGGTATCTCCATATTGCTTTCCACAGAGGTTGAACTAGTTTGCAGTCCCACCAGCAATGTAGGAGGGTTCTTATCTCTCCGCATCCACACCAACATTTATTGTTTTGGGACTTTTGGGGATAAAGGCCATTCTCACTGGAGATAAGTGGTATCTCATTGTGGTTTTGATTTGCATCTTCCTGATGATTAGAGATGTTGAGCATTTTTCCATATGTTTATTGGCCATTACTCTGTTTTCCTTTGAAAAGTTTCTGTTCATGTCCTTTGCCCACTTTTTGATAGGGTTGTTTGATTTTTTTCTTGCTGATTTTCCTGAGTTCTAAATAGATTCTAGTTATCAGCTCTTTATCAGATGTGTAGCATGTGAAAATTTTCTCCCATTCTGTAGGTTGTCTGTTTGCTCTCTTGACAGTTTCTTTGGCTGTGCAGAAGAGCAATCAGACTTGAGAGGTGGATCCAAATGCATAAAGGCTTCCTTTTTTCTTATTTAATTTTTCTCTCTATTCATTTTGTGTTTCTTGTTTGATTCATTAATAGCCAATAAATCTCCCATTCCAAAAGAGAGAAAGTGAGAGGAAGAAAAGAGTCTCTAATCCAAGCAATTTCAAAATCCAACTAGACTGTGCTCTCACCAGAAGCACTTTAAATATCTATATTTCTACTAATACTCTATTTAAGATAATCAAAGGTTGTTCTATAATTTTCCTAGAAATCTTTCCAGCCTATAGCCATTATCCAATTCCAAAGCCACTTCCACAATTTTAGATATTTGTTATAGCAGCAACATACTTCCAGGTACTAAAAGCTATAATAGATTCCTATAATGAATTGCCACAAACTTGGTAGCTTAAAACAATGCACATTCAGTCTCCTACCAATCTGAAGGTCAGAAGTTCAAAATATGTTTCATTAGTCTAAAAACAAGGTGTTACAGTACCATACTCCCTCTGGAAGCTCTAGGAGATGGTCCGTTTTCTTGCCTTTTCTGGTTCCTAGAGCTGTATTCCTTGTCTGGTAGCTCTGTCTGTTATATTCACAGCTAGCAGCATAACATCTTGTTTCAGTGGTCACATTTCCTCCTTCTGTGTCAAATCTACCTTTGCCTACCTCTTATATAGATATATGTGATTGCACTCAGGTTCTATCAGACAATACAGAATAATCTCCCACATCAAGATCCTTAATCATATTGAGAATTCTCTTTGGCCATATAAGGTGACATTCATAAGTGTAAGAGGTTAAGATCTAGATATTTTTGGGTGCAATTATCAGCCTACCACAAGAGTTAGTCCCAGGAAATTCTGGCAGGAAGAGAGGAATTGAGATAGAGAAGGGAAGGAAGAAAACAAAGTATTCATTATCTAGCAGCTTAATATTACTGAAGAACTTTAGAGACCACTGTAGAAAACACATCTTTCAGAAGCTGATAATGCCCCACCATTTTGGACTGTCATATTATTGGGTAGTGTGGGCTATGGGGCTTAATAAAATGCCTCACACAAAGAAATACAGGTTCTGACATTTAAAGCCAGGCAAATATGCATGCAAATGGTGTGAGCTGTGGAAATATGGGCAAGACACTGACAGTATCTTCTATGCACAGAAATGTCTGTATACCCTCCTAATAAAGTTTTTCCTTTTCTTCTAACCTCCTGCCCACTATTCCATCCTTTATTTAACAAATGTACATTGTGTAGCTACCAGGCATCAAGCACTGAGGTAAATGCTAGATATTCAATGTTTAAAAAATAAACATTATCTCATCCTTATAGAATATCCAGTCTAGTAGAAAAGGCAGATGTTAAAACAAAAATTCAAACAAATACATACTTTAAGTTTGTTGTGCATGATCTGAAGCAGAATTTATCAACTTCAGCACAATTGACATTTTGAACTGGATAATTTTTTGTTGTTGGGCAGGGTGGCTGCCTCTGGCATAATAATATAGCAGTATCTTTGGCCTCTATCCACTAGATAATAGTAGCATCTTCCAGTTGTGATGCCAAAAAGTAACTCCAGACATTGTCAAATGTCCCTTAGGGGGAAAAATTATCCTCAATTGAGAATCACTTATCTACATTAAAAACAAAAGTTACTTTAAGCTACAGTGAGGAGATGTAATTTAGATGGGGTAATCAAGGAATATCCACTGAGGAAATGACAATGAACCTTAGAACTGGCACAAGAATAGGAAATGGAAACTCTTATAGATATCATCCTAGGCAAGTAAAAAGAATTTATGAAGAAGACCCCAAAGGCATCACAGCAACAATAAATATAAATAAATGGGACCTGATCAAATTAAAAAAACTTCTGCACAGCCAAGGCTGAAATCAATAGAGCAAGTAGACAAGCTACAGAATGAGAGAAAATATTTGCATGCTATACATCTGATAAAGGGCTAATGACTAGCATTTACAAAGAACTCAAGCAAATCAGCAAGAAAACATCAACTCCACTAAAAAGTGAGCAAAAGACATGAACAAAAGCTTTTCAAAAGAAGATAAACTAACGGCCAGTAAACATATGAAGAAATGCTCAATGACTCTAATCATCAGGGAAATGAAAATCAAAACCACAATGAGAGATCACTTATTCCCAGTGAGAATGGCCTTTATCAAAAAGCCCCCAGACAATAAATGTTGGCATGGGTGTGGAGAAATAGGAGCACTTGCATGCTGCTGGTGGGACTGCAAACTAGTGAAACCTCTGTGGAAAACAATATGGAGATACCTCAAAGACATGCAAGTAGATCTACCATTTGATCCAGCAATCCCATTACTGGGTATCTACCCAAAGGAACAAAAGACATTCTATAAAAGACATCTGCACTCAAATGTTTATAGCAGCACAATTCACAATTGCCAAGATGTGGAAACAACCCAAGTGCCCATCAATACATGAGGGGATTAATAAAATGTGGTATATGTATACCATGGAGTACTATTTAGCTATAAGAAACAATATATAGCTATATGGCACCTCTTGTATTTTCCTGGATAGAGCCGAAACTCATTCTACTAAGTGAAGTATCCCAAGAATGGAAAAACAAGCACCACATGTACTCACCAGCAAATTGGTTTTAATTGAACAACACCTAAATGCACAGATAGGAATAACATTCATCAGGCATCAGGCAGGTAGGAGGGGGAAGGAAGGGATGGATATATACACATAATGAGTGGGATGTGCACCATCTGGAGGATGGACACACTTGAAGCTCTGACTCGAGGGAGGAAGGGGGCAAGGGCAATATATGTAGCCTAAACATTTGTACCCCCATAATATGCTGGTATAAAAAAAATCCCTCTTATGCATGTATTCTATGGCATGGCTTCCTTTGCTCAGCTTTATCTTTCAATATTCCTCTACTGCATTTGCCTTTTGTAATACAATTGTTTGGACATTTCTTGTATGCTGATGGTTCTCATAATTGTTGTAGATTTAAAAATTAGTTTATTAAATGGAATCTGTGATCAAAAAGAGAAAGAAAAAAAAAAAAAGGAAGCAACATCTCTTGGTGCTTTGGCTTCACATAGGAGAGCCAAGAAAGATGTATCTGGATTGGAACTAAGCATAAGGTGTTATTCTTATCAACTATGCTTACCACTGAGCATCGAGCATCTTACCACTTACCACTGAGCTTACCACTGAATCCACTGAGCATCGAGCATCTTATTGTTACTACAAAAAGGATTAAAACCTATTTTTCAAACAGGGTAAAATCATGACACTCATAAATACATGAAATTAACATGTTTAAAGACAAAGATATTGTATTAATAACTGGTTCAAAAGAGAATCCAAAGAGTAGACATGGGACTATTCATTAGGAATATTAAATGAATGTGTAAATAGAGGCAAAACTGGTTTCATTACACCATCAGGGGAAGGACAATTGAACTTCAACTAGGGAATATATTTTACATGTTTATCATTATCAATGACCTACAACTGACAAAAGTTTGTAAAAGACCTCAAAGACAATGAAAGGCCAGAATCAAATAACCTGGGGTGGTGTCCTAAAGACAGGGCAAAGTTTTCCATTGAAGCATGCATTTATTTTTACAATGTTAAAGTCGGGTAAAAAGATACAGTTCTGTCAAAATCAGGGCCCAGTTATTAGGGTAACCAGGTCCCTGTCGGCCATTTCTAGGGTGCGGCATGGTCAGGGCCCAGTGGACACTGATGACATCGTAAAGCCAAGGATGTCACAAAGGCAGCTCTCTGACCAATGAGGTGCAGGTGCACGGGGATACAATGGCAAGACAGAGCACCTGTGTCTTCAGAGACCTAGTCCAGCTGTAGAATCAAGTAGAGCTGATCGGAGCCAAATCCTGCAAACACCATGACAGAGAAAAGGAGCCCCAAGAGCTCTGATAAACATACAAGTCAGACTCAAAACCCTTCTTCTGGATGTGAGCTGCAGTTGCCTTTGAGTTGTGTGGACCACCTTCTGCAGGAGGAACAATATAGGCAGAGTCTGACTTCTTCCAAAACAGACTTCCTGCTTGCTGTGCTTGACTGCCTTGCCGACTACATTCTGGAGATGGTGGGCTCTGAGGCCAGCAATGACACAATGAACATCAACTCAGAAGATGGGGAGAGAAAAGTGGATAACAGTGAGGCCAACCACATCCTGAAGGATGTGTCCTTCTCTCTGTTTGATGAGATGCCTGGGGCCAGGAAGACCGGCTGAAGACTGGATCCAGAACCTGGTGGGGAAATCCTCATGGCACCAGCTAGAGCCCAAACATCTCAGCTGAGAATGCTCTGCTGTTCTCATCAGTAAATGCTAATAAAGGATGTAAATTCATGACAGTGCTCCTGACACTCCTCTTGGTTTCTGTCATTTTGGGTAGGAGGGGTCTGTGAGACATCCAGGGGGAACTCTCGCATAGAGAGTTGGGGGGTCAATGGCATGGTCACTGTGGGCTGTTTAAATCAGTTATTACAGAGGAGCAGTTTCAAATGGTGATTGTTCAGGCAGTGGCCCTGGTGGGAGCAGCTGGCTGAGGGAGAGGGGGAGAGATGTCCTCTTTGGCTCTGAGCAGGGAAGGCCCTGGAAGGCCAGGGAGTTGGCTGGGGCCCCCTAGGCCTGTGGAATTCCCAGAAGGAAGCTGGGAACTGCGGTGGGGCTGAAGACCCTGACTGAGGTGAGGGTGGCTTTATCCGTGGCATGGAAGGTGAGGGAGGTAGCAACAAAGGTTGGGAATGAGGAGGACACACTAGCTGGCATGAAAGTTATGGGACATGTGGTCTTACATGGGGATTTATGAGTCATGGGAAACCATAAGGAAAAATACAAAAAATGGGTTATGGTCAGGTTGATATAGTTTCTTATTTATTTATACCCTGATTCATGCCAAAGGAAGCCTAGAGATAAGGTATAGTAGTCAATGCTGTGACTATATCTGTCTGACCTATCTGGTGAACACTGGTAGATTCAATCATAATAATATATAAAACCTGGCCTAAGACAGGCAATTAAAGAAACTCTCAATGGTTATTAATTATTAAATCATGGGATTTCTTGTAAAGATATTTCACTTAAAACACAATTATCAAGATCATTTTCAGATTAAATGCTTATTCATCTTAATGATCATGTATTTGATACAACAACAAAGAGTTTGCAGTGGCCAAATACATACTCTGAGAGGGATAAAAATAACCTGGGTAATTCTGTCTTGAGTGATGGACTGAAAAGCACATATGATACTCCAATACTCTTCATGCTCTGTACTAAGTTTACAAAAGGTGTCACATCAAGTGTTGCGGCTATCGGGCCCCTTGCCTGTGAGTGCCCACATTTCAGGTTTTCACTGTTCATAAGTTCTCCAGGGCCACACTATGTACTCCACTGCTCTTTCAGAGGGGTCTGGACAGAGGCTGCCCAGCCGACCTTAGTGATGGAATCCAGGGGTCTGGTTCCAGATCCCAGTTCACCTCGTTTTGGCCATGTGATCTTGGACCTTCATTAATCCCTCTGAGCAGGTTTCCTCCTGTGAAAAATGGGGGTAATAAGAGTCCCTCTATCTTTGGCTTCCTCAAAGATTAAGTTCCCTTGTGCCTGCACACTGCTGTTTCACACTGCACGTGGCACAGGGGAGCCCTTAATAAACAGCTGCATCTGTCTCCTTCCCTAGCACCAGGCGCGCAGGCATGCTTCCCCCGGGTACAGCTGGGCCTGGTTCTCAGGTGACTGCTGGACACTTGGGCACTGGCTGTGAGAACTGCAGCGTGCTGGGTCTTGTGGAGAGACAGGAGAGGGCCGGGCAGAGGGATAGGCCAGGTGGTCCCCACCCTGTTTTCCTCTCTGATCCTCTTAACTGCTGACTTGCCCTCTCCCTGCCTCTGTCTAAGCATAAGGACCTGGCTTGGCCTTGGACTAATCCACAGGCATGTCCTGAGAATGAAGAAAATAGTTGGGGTTGTGCTTAGAGCTCTTTGGAAGATGTGCTTGTCTAAACCCAAGAAGCCTTTCTTGCCACATCACGGTCACTCAGCCTCATATTTCCAGACATCTCATTGTCAAGATGCCCACCCACAGATGTGTGGTCCCTAACAGAGAGCCATGAAGCCCTCCCAGCATTAGCTGAGCTCATCTCTTCCTCTTCTGTGCATCTGAGTAGCAAGCAGGCCTCTCCTGGCAACCACAGGTGAAGAGTCACCTTCAGCTGATCCTCTCTTCTTGAAATGGAGCACCTTTGTGTCAAGGACATGGTTTTCTCATAGACCTGTGTCCTTCAGTGAAAAGTGGGTTCCTCTAGGATGGGTAATGCCACAGAATTGGTCATTATATTCAGATCTTGATGTGTTCAATAAATGGCTGTCTGATGTTAAAAACTATTTTGGTTTGCAATTCCAGCTGGTAGCACAAAACATAGACTCCTGGATACATTTTTTTCATCTGATGAATTTATTCAAGGCCAGGAAGGCCCTAGTAGATGGGTTAAGCATTCTGTGTGGGGAGGTGGTCACCTTACAGTCCATGTGCTACTTGACACTAATGGTCACTGTGACCCTGTAAAGAGCCAGGCTTCCTGGGCTCTTTCAGACCCTCTGTTTGATGTCTGAGGTGGAGTTTGGAATGTGAATGGTGTCAAGCCCTCTGCAGCGCCATGGGGCAGGGCCTGTAATAATCGTGCTCAGCTGTGCTTATGGGTTTCACAGGGTCCATCGGGGCCAGGACCAGCAGAGCATCAGCCTGATCCAGCCTCTGCCAAATCCCCCTCCACAGATGCAAGGAATCCCACACTCAGGGGAGGGAGGGAGGCAGAGAAGGAGCATTGCTGTTGTGGGAAGGCATGAGCCTACCCAAGTCTAGGCCTTTTGTGCATTTCTAGAAGGTGGGGGGCATAGTGAGGAAGGATTTCCTCTAGCACGGACTCCATGGATAGGACACCATCGGTAGCTGTTCCTTGTGGGAGTGGGAAACCTCAAACCCCAGTGAGTAAAGACAGAGGCTGGGGTGGCTGCCAATCAGGCCTGTAATCACAGGCAGTGTCAGGGCAGGGCCAGGGTCAGACATGGGTTAACATGACAGGAAATACCACCTGTGAGAAGAGATGAGCCCAAGAGCTGAGCCTTTGGGGAGCTTGGAGTGTAAAGTTGCCTTGGTGTTGGCGTGAACACAAGGCCTGGTTACCAGGCTGGCCTCCCACCAAGAGCATCCTTTGGGAACAGGGAAATTTTGAAGGCCCACATCGCCCGGTCCCTGCATGTGACAGATCCTGCAGGATGTGGCCATAGTGAGATAGCCTGGCTCTTTAGAAAGGGCCTTTGTTACTCCCCAAATAGGGTTCTAGAAAGAGGGCTACTTTTATGAATGTCAAATATTTTAATACATAATTCCCCTAAAGCACAAATTACAAAGTATTAGCTTACTTACCTAATCTAAGCAGCAGATGAGATCATTAAGAGTATAATCATTATGATCCCTAAAAAAATGATGTTTTTAAGAGAAAATTAATTCACTGTCGACATTTAAAATCTAGAACTTTTTACCTAAAACTTTTGATTTCTGGATTTTCTTTGTAAATTAAAATGTCTGATCATCCTTATAGCTAGAATCAGATGAAGAGGATTTGCTGCTGCCCTACTAATACTGGGCCTTCTGATTTCCACAGTCTTCACCCTCTTCTATAGTATCTCTCATTGAATCCACTTCACTCATTTTCTATACTTTCATGACTCCTAAGGATACTCGAGTAAGTTTTTCTAAGCATTAGACCACAATTTTCTTTTTTAAAGCAACTTTAAGAATTAGTTTTCTTTTTAAAGGATACATAATAATTGTGCATAATTGTTGAACAGTATCTGAATTTGGTATTGCTTTAAGAGTTTCTTCTTTAAAGTCCTTCATGAAACTGAAAGATCAATCTCATATTTAGAGCTCTAGAATAACTTAGGGAAATATCTCTAAACTTCTGTCAAAATCAAATCTATTGGAAACCAATTAGAAGCAAAGAAGCTGGTTAGATACTATGTTTGTGAAATATTTAGATTCTGGAATATAAAATGAAAGGCATTTGCCAACTCAGCTATGGAAGGGAGTCTTCATGTCATGAAGGCATCATATAATGGAAGGAGAAGGAGGAGAACTGGGATCTGTTCTCTTGCAGTGTAGTTTACTTGGGGGCCCAACAGCTTCCATGGATATAAAATGAGGAGATTGGACAAAATTATCTCAAAAGTCAGCTTAGGGTGTACAATTACCAGACTATGATCTTTTGCTAAGAAAAATATCTACTCAAATAAATAAATGGGGCAGAGGGGACAGTGATCTCTTAGACTCTCCATTTTACAGCTGAAGCCAACAAGGCCCAGTGATGGTATCTGCTCTCCCAGGGTCACATGATGAGTGGGTAGCACAGTGGAATGATAGCCTGGCCCTCCTAACCTGTTATGGAGGCTCTTTTCTCTATACTGAAAACAGGGCTCAAGATAGAAAGTGTTGAATATTCTCCTCTGGGAAAATAAAGCTCAAGTCTTTGATATTGAGGAATTAGGGTATCTTAGATTTCTAGGAAAGTACTGAAGAACTCACTCCTCTCAGGAACTTTCACTTGCATTGTATTTGCAGATTGCCAGACAGGTTAAGAGAAAAGGACTGATTTTTATAGTACAGGTCTTTGGACTTTTGCAAACCTAGGTTGAGTTCTATTGGACATTGTGTTAGACTGTGTCATGAATACAAATGTTTCTCAGTTAAGGTGTTCTGGAAATTCTTATTCTGTCCACTGACATTGTCTTAAATGTGGTTATGTGATGACAGGAGAGGCCTGTGCCCAGGAGCCTATTCTTTGAATTACCTGAGATACTGCTCTTTTTCACCAGGCTCTGGGATGCTCTTGTTTTCTAAGACAAAATATCTGGCTTGTAGCTAATAGTATGGTCTTCAGGGAAGCATCAGTATAAATCAAATGACAATCTGGATGAGACAGAGACTTATAAAGTGTGTGGTTAACTTATTACAAGTGAAATAATATGTAATTTTTGCAAGTGAAAATCTTGTGGGTGGGCATAACAAAAATAAAGCAACTGAAAATAAAATTATTTTTTTATTCTGGCATGCAAAAAAAGAATATAAAGTCAAAAAAGAGTTTTTTACAAAATATCTATAAGCCTAATGATTTAGCCTATTTTCAATAAAGTGTGGTATAAGTTCTAATCATCTATATTTGAATAAAATTTCATCAGAGTATTAATCAACCTATCCAGAAAAACTGAAATATATTTATATTTATATGAATTGGTTAATGCAATTATCTGGTCTGAGAAGTCTGAAATCTTTAAGGCAGGCCAACAGGCTGGAAACTCAGGCCAGAGTTTGAATTCCTTCTCCAGGAAACCTTAATTTTTGCTCTTAAGGCTTTCAACTGATTGGATACAGTTTACCTACATTATTGAAGGTAATCTCTATTTCTTCTAGTAAACTGTAGATATTAATCACATCTAAAAAGAACCTTCACAACAATATCTACATTAGTGTTTGAGTAAACAACTGGGCACAATAGCCACGCTAAATTGAAACATAAAATTTATCCATCGCAGTAGTTAGGTTTGGTGTATATTCTCAGTTGAAAAGTACTAGTCTGCAAGATACTAAATTTAAATTTTTAAATGAAGTTAGTGGCCAAACATTTAAAAGTAGTAACTGAAATTATGACTGATAATACTCTAGTTTTGTTGCTGGGAAAGCACCAGCTGAACTCTGATAATTACAAACATCATGGACAGTAAGGACACCAACCAATCTCTAGGAACTTCCTATACATTACAGAACTTCTGAAGTATTTATACTAACATTTTTCTTCATATTTCACTTAGGGAATTTTGAACACCTTTTTTAAAATTTTTTTTATTTCAAGAAAATATAGGAGTACAAACATTTTGGTTGCATTTTATATCTTTGCCTTTCCCTAATAGCACCTTTTTTAATTTGACAGTTTTGTATGCCACTCATCAATAGTTAACATGTCAGATAAATATTTCTAGTGCCTCTTTTTTAATAAAATGAAAGAATAAATGTTTATGACTTGCCAAGGGCCCTGTGAAAAATCTGAAAGGTAGTTTTGATTGCAAAAGCTATGATAAGGCATTATTTTATTTTATTTCAATTTTTATTTAGGATTAAATTGTGGGAATGCTAAGTTAAAAGTTGCCTGGATGTGTGATCACTTAACATAGAATCATGAGAGCCTAAGAACATTATTGATTGTAGCCTAGCTAACTATCAATTCAGTGGGAAGACAATATTTAAGTAAATGTAGTAAAGTCTTTAAGACTTTAGAAATGCAGAACTTGTTGTTCTTTAAGAGAATAATAAATGGCATGATGACGTTAAAACAAAGGGATATTCAGGTGAGAGAGAATCTCTACAATTTAGGCAGAATATGTATAAAGTGATGTGGTAGGCTGCACATGGCCTCCTAAGATACTCAGGCCCTAATCCCTAGAATCTATGAATGTTACTTTATATTTTGCAATTGAGACTTTACAAGTGTGATTTAGTTAAGGATATTGAGATGAGGAGATTATTATGGATAGTCTGGGTTGGCCCAAAGTGCCCTTATAATAGGGATGCAGAGGGAAATTTGACTACAGAAGCAAAAGGCAATGTGACAACTGAAGCAAGATTCTACACTGCTGGCTTTGAAGATGCTGGAAGGAGTTATGAGCCACAAATACATAGCTCTATAAACTAGAAAAGGCAAGGAAACAGATTTTACCCTGGAGCTTCCAAAATTAATGCAGCCCTGTTGACACCTTGGTTTTAGCTCAGTGAAACTGACTTCAGATTTCTGACTTGTAAGAAAATAAATGTTTGTTGGTTTAAGCCACCAAGTTTAGGGTGATTTGTTACAGCCACCATAGGAAACTAACACAGAAAAATAATAATCTTTTACTAAGAGCAGTAATCTTTTACTATTATTAAGAGCAGACCAATATTCCAACAAAATTTAGTCTTTTTCACAAATAACAAACTAAATTCTCAGTTTGCTTCAATATAACATTTGATTCTAAAGGACCCAGCTCTTTTTGAAAATCTTATGAACAAACCCATCAAATATAAACCAGATTTTTTTTTTGAACCAGATATGGAAAAAAATTTAAACAAGTTTATGTTCCCATTCAGATTTTCATTTTTATGAGTCTCCTATAGCTTTCTATATCTATTCAGGTTTTGTCTTTCAACATCGTCTCTTACATTCTGGAACAACAAGTCATTTTACTCCAAGACAGAAATATTCTTGTTTTGGCTCTTAATGAAAATAAACAATAATTCATGTGTCATTATCTTGAGATTCCTAGTAGACTCTCATTCATGTATATTAATTATAACTTTTAAGCAAAAATCACTTTTATTTCTCATGGAAAGCTGAGGTGAATAATTGTGAATTTCTGTAACCTTAACATTTGTACCCCCATAATATGCTGAAATAAAAAAAATTTCTTTTAGTTTAGCAGCCTAGCAGATCTCAGGAATATACCTAACCCAGCTTTATCTAGCCGCACACTTCCACGTATACAACTTCTCAATGTGGCAGACATGAACATGTTGATTGACAGATGCAAAATTATACCCTTTTTGTAGCATGTACAAATAAGAAGCAAAATTATATAAAGTGAAATTATGCTTCATAATGAATATTTTAATATTCTATATTATAAAATATCTAGGCATCCACTGAATATCCATTAAATAACTCAATATAATATCTGTCCAAGGTCTTGCATTATCTAAAAATCTTGGAAATTATTTTCAAGCTGACATACTATAAAACCTTATTATTGAAGAAATACAAGTTTGTTAGAACAATGATTCGATTGGTTAAATATAAATTTATATTTATAAATATAAATATAAATTTATATTTAAATTAATCTTAAACATTAAATAGATATAATGTTCGTTCATGTGATCAATAAAAATTTGTAAGTTTTAAAATAACAGACCTAAGTAGCATAAAAATGTATACTTGTGTTGTACCTAATACTGATAAATAACAGAAGACATAGTTTTTTCATTAACCCTAAACTATTAAACTAGTCTTGTTCACCACAGATTTACATAAGTTATGTAAATTTGAATTCTTAAAATGGTTGTGAGTTGGTTTCTGAGAGAATATATATTGTTGAAATCTAGCATATTTAAAGTATTTTATAGTACAGTTTTCTCATTTTCAAGAAATTTTAGGAATATTTAACTTATATAACCCAAAGAGACTTTATAATCTATCAGTACCATCCAAAGACAGGAAAACTGTACATACTTACACAATCAGAGGAGAAGGTATTTCAGACTTACAGACACATAGACATATAGGCACAGAGAATATTGCTTCAATTCTACAATTTCACCCATGGGTCACATATAAACAGAGATAGTAAACTTCCCTGGTTCGGATGTCAAAAAACTGTTCTCCTCCAAGAGGATATAATTTCTTAATTGAGAAGAGTTAAAAATGACAAATAGACAAATAAAAAGACTGACAAACAAGCTTTTCTGTTGTTTCTCACACAGTAGAGACCAGATTTCTGTAAACCATGAACCCATTTTCAGAGATCTCCAGATGGTCAGATCCTAAAACCAAATTCCCAACCATTTCATCAACAATAAGAATAACTTACCTAATGTAAATGAACAAAACAAGGACAAACTTAGTAGAAAGAAAAATCAAAATATAAATTGAAATTAAAATGAGAAAAACAGAGAATCAACAAAGTCCTAATTTGCTTTGGATTCACCTAGAAGAAGCAGGAAGAGATATTCTTGGAGTCTGAGCATAAGGTGCGCATCTCTGTCACAGTTTATCTGACTCTGATAGGTGAATCCACTGGGCATATCAATGTGACCTCCAAAATAGTTAAAAGACTATTTTACTCTATTGTCAAACAGAGTAAAATGACATTCATACATCTATGAAATGGAAATGTGTTGAAAGAATTTAATTCATGAGGAAATTGACAGATAAAATATAAGCAGTTTAAAAGTAAATTTAAAGAACACACAGAAATATTGATCATGTATATTTAAATAAATGGAGACAAATTGGTTTTATTACAACCTAAGAGGAGAAACAGATGGACTTCTACAGGGCAAGGTATTCAGCATGTGTATCAGTGATATATAACTTACAGAGGGTTGTAAATGAGCTCACAAGCAACACAAGGCTAGAATCAGAGAACCTGAAACGGTATCCTAAGACAGGGCAATGATTCCATTGACATGATTTTTTTTTACTAGAATGTTAAAGTCAAATAGAAAGTTAGAGTTTCCTCAAAAAAAAAAAAAAAACAGAAAACAACAAAAAAACCAAAAAAGTCCAGTCATTAGGGTGACCAGTTTCCTCTCATGGGCATTTCTAGGCTGAGGCCTGACCAGAGGCCAGTGGACACCGATGGCATCACAAAGTCTAGGATGTCACAAAGGCAGCTCCCTGACCACTGAGGGGCTAGAGCATAGCGATACAAGGGGCAGGGATAAGCACTGGTATCCTGAGAGGCCCAGGCCAGCAGGGAAATCAAGCTGTGCTACTTGGGGCCAAGCCCAGCAAACATCATGCCTGGGAAGAAACAGAGTCGAGGCTCTCAGAGGCGTAGGAGGCAGGCCATCTCCCGCTCCACCAGAGCAGAGCTGCAGTTCCCGGTTAGCCGCGTGGACCGCTGCCTGCGAGAGGGTCAATATGCCCAGCGCCTAAGTTCAGCCACGCCCGTTTTCCTCGCCGGAGTTCTGGAGTACCTGACGGCCAACATCCTGGAGCTGGCGGGCAAGGAGGCCGACAACAACCGCAGGGTACGCATCACCCCCGAACACGTGGAGAGGGCAATGGACCAGAATCAGCAGCTCAGCCTCCTCTTTGAGGACGACACCCACTCTCAGGTTGATGAGATGCCCCAACCCAGGAATAAGTAGAGATGCCTGGGTCTCAGAGCCCGGCAGGCCCTCATCAACAACTTCATCCAGCCCCCAAAACTGCCACAGAGAGGGAGCCCAGGCTGCTACCATCAGCCCATGCTATTAAAGTGTTTAAATGTATGACAGTGCTCCTGACTCCTCTCAGTTTCTGTCACCTTGGGTAGAAGGCGCCTGTGAGACATCCAGGGGGAGCTCTCCCATAGAGAGTTGGGGGGCAGAAGGCATGATCAGTGGGGGGTATTTGAACCAGTGATTTTAAAGAAGCAGTTTCCAATGGTGATGGGTATGGGCAGTGGCCCTGGAGGGAGCAGCTGGCTGAGGGAGAGGGGGGAGATGGCCTCATTGGCTGTGAGCAGGGAAGGCCCTGAGAGGACAGGGAGTTGGCTGGGGCCCCCTAGGCCTGTTGAATTCCCAGGAGGAAGCTGGGTGGGGCTGAAGACCGTGACTGAGGTGAGGGTGGCTTTATTCATGGCATGGAAGGTGAGGGTGGTGGCAACAAAGGTTGAGAAGGAGGAGGACACACTGACTGGCATCAGCTTAATGGGACATGGGCTTTTACATGGTGATTTAGAAGTCATGGGAAACCATAAGGAAAAATAGAAAAATGAGTTATGGTCAGGTTGATATAATAATAGGTTTTTATTTATTTATACTCTGACTTATTCCAAAAGAAGACTACAGATAAGGAGTAGCAGCCAGTGCTGTGAATACATCTTTCTGTCCTATGTTGTGAACACTAGTAAATTAAATCATAATAATATATAAAACCTATGATCTGGCCTAACACAGGCAAATCAAGAAACTTTTAATGGTTTATAATTATTAATGAGTGGGATGACTTATAAATGTATTTCATTCAAAACACAATTATCAAGCCCGTTTTCAGATTAAACACCTATTCATTTTAATGATCACACATCTGATAGAACAACAATTATGAGTAGCCAAATATTAATATATGCTTTGAGAGGGATGATAATAACCTGGGTAATTCTGTCTTGAGTGATGGACTGAAAAGCACATATGATACTCCAATACTCTTCATGCTCTGTACTAAGTTTACAAAAGGTGTCACATCAAGTGTTGCGGCTATCTGGCCCCTTGCCTGTGAGTGCCCACATTTCAGGTTTTCACTGTTCATAGGATTCTCCAGGGCCACACTATGTACTCCACTGCTCTTTCAGAGGGGTCTGGACAGAGGCTGCCCAGCCGACCTTAGTGATGGAATCCAGGGGTCTGGTTCCAGATCCCAGTTCACCTCGTTTTGGCCATGTGATCTTGGACCTTCATTAATCCCTCTGAGCAGGTTTCCTCCTGTGAAAAATGGGGGTAATAAGAGTCCCTCTATCTTTGGCTTCCTCAAAGATTAAGTTCCCTTGTGCCTGCACACTGCTGTTTCACACTGCACGTGGCACAGGGGAGCCCTTAATAAACAGCTGCATCTGTCTCCTTCCCTAGCACCAGGCGCGCAGGCATGCTTCCCCCGGGTGCAGCTGGGCCTGGTTCTCAGGTGACTGCTGGACACTTGGGCACTGGCTGTGAGAACTGCAGCGTGCTGGGTCTTGTGGAGAGACAGGAGAGGGCCGGGCAGAGGGATAGGCCAGGTGGTCCCCACCCTGTTTTCCTCTCTGATCCTCTTAACTGCTGACTTGCCCTCTCCCTGCCTCTGTCTAAGCAGAAGGACCTGGCTTGGCCTTGGACTAATCCACAGGCATGTCCTGAGAATGAAGAAAATAGTTGGGGTTGTGCTTAGAGCTCTTTGGAAGATGTGCTTGTCTAAACCCAAGAAGCCTTTCTTGCCACATCACGGTCACTCAGCCTCATATTTCCAGACACCTCATTGTCAAGATGCCCACCCACAGATGCGTGGTCCCTAACAGAGAGCCATGAAGCCCTCCCAGCATTAGCTGAGCTCATCTCTTCCTCTTCTGTGCATCTGAGTAGCAAGCAGGCCTCTCCTGGCAACCACAGGTGAAGAGTCACCTTCAGCTGATCCTCTCTTCTTGAAATGGAGCACCTTTGTGTCAAGGACATGGTTTTCTCATAGACCTGTGTCCTTCAGTGAAAAGTGGGTTCCTCTAGGATGGGTAATGCCACAGAATTGGTCATTATATTCAGATCTTGATGTGTTCAATAAATGGTTGTCTGATGTTAAAAACTATTTTGGTTTGCAATTCCAGCTGGTAGCACAAAACATAGACTCCTGGATACATTTTTTCATCTGATGAATTTATTCAAGGCCAGGAAGGCCCTAGTAGATGGGTTAAGCATTCTGTGTGGGGAGGTGGTCACCTTACAGTCCATGTGCTACTTGACACTAATGGTCACTGTGACCCTGTAAAGAGCCAGGCTTCCTGGGCTCTTTCAGACCCTCTGTTTGATGTCTGAGGTGGAGTTTGGAGTGTGAATGAGTGCATGGTGTCAAGCCCTCTGCAGCGCCATGGGGCAGGGGAGGGTCACCAGACAGGCACTGCCATCCCTCTAAGAATCGTGCTCGGATGTGCTTGTGGGTTTCATAGGGTCCATGGGGGCCAGGGCCAGCAGAGCATCAGCCTGATCCAGCCCCTGCCAAATCCTTCTCCATAGGTGCAAGGAATCCCACACTCAGGGGAGGGAGGGAGGCAGAGAAGGAGCATTGCTGTCTCATTCAACACCTCACTGGGAGAACTTTCACTTGTGTCTTATTTAAGAATGGCCAGACAGGTTAGGAGAAAAGGGCAGATTTTATAGTATAGGTTTTTGGACTTTGTACCCCTAGGTCTTGCTCTGCTGGACATTGTGTTAAATGGTGTCATGAATGTTTTGAAAATTCTGACTCTGTCCTCTGATATTGTCTTAAAAGTATATGACAACATGAGAAACCTGTGTTCAGGAGCCCATCTTTGAAGTTTTTGAGGTACTGTCTTTTTCACCGGGCTCTGGGTTGGTCCTTGTTTTTAAAGACAAAGCTTTTTGCCTGTAGCTGATTGTATGGTTTTCCATGAAGCATCAGTGTAAATCTAATAACAATCTGCAGGAGACAGAGACTTATAAAGGATGTGGTTAACTTATTACAAATGAAATAATATATAATTTCCACAAAAGAAAATCTTGTGGAAGAGCATAACAAGAATAATGCAACTGAAAGTAAAATTCTTTTTTACTCTGGTGTGCAAAAGAACAATATAAAGTCAAAAAAAGAGTTTTTTTTTTTTTTTTTACAAACTATCTATAAGCCTAATGATTTAGTCTATTTTCTACAATGTATGGTATAGGCTTAAACATCTATATTTTAATAAATCTCCAGAAATAAGTTAGATATGCTTCTTCAGTTGAAAATCTTTGATCTAGAAGAGGGTAGATGCAAATTAAAATCAGATTGCAACCAAACATTTAAAATTAGTAACAGTAACTGAAATTATACTTTATAGCACTATGGTATTGTTGACTAATATCATCACAGAAAGCACCACCAGGACTCTGTTAAGTAGCAACACATCATTGACAGAAAGTGTACTGACATATACTAAGACCATCCTGTACATGTTACAATTTCTAAAATATTTATGTGAATAATATTTCTCTATTCCAATTTTACTCAGTGCAGACCGAGAACCTCTTTTGATTAGACAAGTTTTTCTATACAACTCATAAGTAGTAGTATATCAAATAAATCTATTTCCATCACCTCTCTTGTTATAAGATGACATAATTTATTTTTGTGACTTTCCATGGAGTTATGGAAATTCTCAAGGAAAGTTTTAAGTGAGAAATACAATTTGAAGCTTTCTTTTCTTTTCTTTTTCATTTAGGATTCCATTTGAGGAATGTAAAAATAAAATTGTCAGGTCATTTGAGCACCTAAGATAGGATTATGGAAGCCTGAATACATGAATGGTTGTAGCTTGACTACCTATTACTCAAAGAGGCAATATAATACATATTTAAATAAACATTAAAAATGTAACTTTTATTTTTTCTTTTATTTTAAAGAGACTCATCATGGGCATGATATAGTAAGAACAATATGTTAAAAATTATTCTGTTGAGATATAGAATCTCTGCTTTGGGGGGGGGGTAGATTATGAAAAAGGTAGCCCAGAGAAAATGATTTTGGATTTCTGATTTCCAGAACTGTAACCAAATAAACGTGTGTGTATGTGTGTTTACACCACCAAGGCCTTAGTCATTTGTTACAACAGCATAGAAAACAAATGTATCTGAAAAGTATCCTTTTACAATATATTATGCCAAGCAAACACTCCATCAAAACTTGATCTTTTTTACCGAGAGCAAATAAAATTCTCAGGTTGACTTTAGTGTTCAATATAATGTTTGATACTAAAGTAACTGTGAGCTTTTTCTGAAAATCTTATGAACTAACTCATGAAAACTGAGTCAGCTTTAGAAAATTTTAGCACAAATTTATGTTACTTTTCAAAGTCTAGGTCTATGAACTTTCTATAGCTTTCTATATGTGCTGAGTTTTGTCTTTCAACACCCTGTTTCCTATTCCAGAGCAAAAAAAAATCAGTTTAGATCAGAAACATTCTCTTTTTTCCTTTAGTCAACAAAACATATTGCTTTATCTTGAGCACCCTAGTAGAGTCTCATGCACCCATATTAATTGTAACTTTTAAGGAAAGTAACCTCTATATCACAGAGAAGACTAGGAGTCCATAATTGTGTACTGTCTTTGATTTTATCAGAGCAGCTGATGAATACACCTGAGCCACCTGTATTCAGCCACACACATGCCTTATAAAACTCCTCAATGTGGCAGAAATGAACGTATTCATTGGCAGACCCAAAGAATTAGCCTCTTTGTAGCATGTAAAAAAAAATAAGCACAAGTATATAAAGTAAAAGTATCTTTAGTAATCAATATGTCAATATTTTATCTTATGAACTACTTACAAATAAACTACTTCCACCTGAATCCTCATTTCAGCATCTGCTTCTAAGGGAACCCAAACTAAGACACTAGATAATGATGAAGGATGCAGCAGCAAACTCATCTAGCCACCCATTGAATGTCCAATAACTCACTGTAATATCATCCAAGATCTTCAGTTATTCTAAAGATTTTAGAAATGTTCTTAAGCTGACATGTTTCAAAACCTCATTTGTGAGGAAATACAAGTTTGTC